GAGAAGAAGTGGTAGATCTCCAGGAGAGTCCATGATGTTACAGGGGGAACACAGAAACTGCAAACAAAGTTACGAGAGTAAAAGCTGGCTCCGTTAATCTGTCCGGAAACGTCGAACTACTGGTAGACTTGAAATGAGTGTTGAATAATCATCTAAATTTACTTAGAGCTACATGTTTATTGTCAAAAGTGGGTCGACCAGTGTATCATTTATTTCATTATTCCATGAAACGTAGAATTTTCAGCATGTTATGATTTAACATGCACAAGTTTTGCCACGTATAACACTTCTGCAAAACTGTATTCCTATTATTTTCTGAGTCAGATGGAATCAGATTTATTTATGGAAAAAGGCCTGTTCCTTCAACCAGCAGTTGTTCTTAAATCCAAGGGGGTTTTACTCCCCCAAGCCATGCCACTTTTTAACCAAAGCTTTAAATGAACAGAAAATCATTTGTCCTGGTTTATTTGTGACTATGGAACTCTTTCTCTTTCCCTAAATGATAAAATATGGGCAGCAAACCAAATGCTCTTACAAATCCTGTTTCTTAACAGTATTTTTGCTATTTTTGGTGAGGGGTCATATGCAGTCATTTTGTCAGATCTTCATATTTATTCAAAACATTTATACTCGGGTAATAATCTGGAGCTTTTTTCCATTTAAATGTCAAATTCCCAAAAGCTGCAATGTGATAAAAATTCTTTAACCACCACCTGAAGCCTGAGGTGACCTTATCTCCGCTCTCAGACAGAGCTCTCCAAATCAGAGTCCTGCCCCGACGCACAAATGGAAAATAAACAGCTCACCTCAAAGCACAAACTTTACAAAAATAGTCTGAGCACTTCTCCACATCCACTAAGTTTGTTTGTTTGCCTTTCCTAAAAATTACTTTCATCTCAGATTCAGCCGCCATCCGATAAGTTGCACACAGGTTATATGATAAGCAACATTTCCCAAATAACTGTGTCCAGTATTTTTCTTTTTTTTTGTTTTGCACATTTTCTCTTTGCTGATCTAAAATAGGCCTGTGCTGAAAAACGACTTCCACTCCCACTCACACAAAAACATCACAGCTTTTATTAAACAAGATGATCTTGCTTTTGCTGTGGGATCGGACTTTCATTCGGATTCGTGCACAGGCAGCTATTTATTATGGAGAAATTAAGTGACATCATTTTAAAAATAGGTACAAATTAGGTCCTTAAGAGGTACACATTTCTGTCCAATTACATCTTTGAATTTGAAACTCCACCCTCTTGGTTACGATAGGATAGATTCAGCTAAAATTGCACACAAAAGCTGGTTTTACTGTGACACCCCCCACTTATTGGGTACATTCTATGATATCACCTGCATTTAGTCTTATTCCTACACTAACAAAGGTTTCTACCTCAGCACATCTTGTATTTTTTACTGATATCAGGGGAGTCAAATCTGCTCACCGTGTTTCCTCCCTCATGCCGGTGCTCACAGCACAGAGAAGATAACAGCCCGCATCCCTCTGACTCTCAGTGCTGCCACCAGCCCGCGCCGGCTTTGTTTTCCTCCCCCAAGGATAAAGAGGAATGTCATGTGTGACACCTGCCAGAAGCAATCAAACCTCGTGATTTCAGCGTAGCTGACTGCCACCGGCGTTTTGTCTCGACATTTTGGGAGGCAGCTTTGACCTGATTTACAGACGACCCACAGCTCTAATTTGAATGAAGTCAGAACTTTTAACTGCGTGTCACAACCAGCTTGTGTGGGGAATAGAAAGCAACATAAATACCCGGTGCTTTAAGTTAAATAGAATATTTGAATTATTTACGAAAGTGGGGATGAACACTATAAGTCAGGCAACTAAAGACTAAGTGAGTGCAGGTTAAAGTTGAAAACAAGAACAGAATAATGCTAATTGCAATTAAACTCCTGGGTGAATAGCAAAAGGGTTTAAAGATGTTTTTAAATGTGAATCTATGACAGAGCCTTGTATCTTTAAAAAAACGAGTGGCTTAACATAGCAAAAGTTTTAACTGATTTGCCAGAAATTGCTCCCTGGGTTCTGGTCGGGTTACTTATAGCTCTCAGGGTTCTGGTTTGCTTA